TCCTCTGTGGCCTCGTGAAACGTTCGCACGGAACAAGTGTTACACGATGAGATAACGCTACTTATGCTTTATGTAATGGGTTCTCGCTTTCGTTATCGTTCTCGAGCTTTCACGAACCGAAACGGAAACCGGTGGTCAAATTTAACGGTGATAAATATTGGTCGGTTGGTAATTACGGTGATACGGGATGAGAAATGATTGTTCTTTTTTTTTTTTTTTTTTTGGTTTCTTCTTCTTTCTTAAATTAACTGATCGCGTAGTTCGTTGCGAAAATTTAATTTGATTGAAATTAATCTAGTAATTGGAAAATATGAGGCTGAACAAATTGGTTCTCTGTTTGTAATATTTATTGTATTTTGTATGAACAATCGTTTAGGAATTATTTGTGAAATAGTAGCATTTTTTTTTAACGATATTTTACGCGTATTTTAGACTTTGTAGAGAGATTTCGTTGAGATTGACGTTTCACGTAGCGATGGAATTTTCACGGGGCCGATAAGATTCGAGATAACGAAGGTATTTTGTTTAATCAGTTGGGGATTTGAGCGTTAATTGGTTTTTCTTCTTGGTGGATGATTTATTATATATGGAAGAAGAACTGTTTAGGAATATGCTTAGATTTTGTACGAATAGTTGGAAATTGAAGAGAAGAAGTAATATTTAAAATTAGAGGTTATAAATATAATATAATCCAAACGATTGAAATTTGTTTTAAACAATATATGTATTTTCAAATCCTTTGGATATGAGAAAAATATTGAAATGAATTTTGTATGTATATATTTAAAAAGATTTATGAAATATTACTTCGATGATTTCGAATTATTTATAAAATTGATTGGAGATCTCGATGATAGCTCGATGATAGCTAGGTGTTTATAATAAACACATTAAATAAAATATTTATTTTTCTCAATCCATAATCGAACGATTGATATTCTAAAGCTGAAAGTTTAGATTTAAACTTGATTTCATCGTTAATCGTAAAAATCTCTTTATCGATAAAATTACGGACAAAATGAGTAATCGTGAAATCTTAACGAGATTAATTGTTATATAAATCGAGTTATCAAAGAAAAATGTAGAAAATAGATTAATACTGGAATTACTTTCGTTAGTAATAATGAAATTCAATCAGAATATTTTGAATGTGAATATTTTCAATTATTTAGGAAGAATTTTTAATATCCAAAAAATAATCCCTGAATGAAATTAAATTAAATATAACAAAATTCCGAATTATACACGTAATAAACGCTAAAAAAAAAAAAAAAAATTCTC